GTGGATCAGCAGATTTCAGTATACTCCAACAGCTCTGGATGAAAAAGAACTCTATTGATTCAATAGAAGGGACCCTGGAGACTCGGGTGTCACTGGGATTATGCCACCCTCGCCATCAAGACTGAGAACTAAATAGCAAAGTCACTCTTGCTAACTGAATGTTAAAGACACATTCGTAATAGGGTTGTATCCTCTGTCCCAAGTACTTCATTGGGGGTGTTTCAGGAATTACTAAACTCAGCAGAAATGCATCTTTATAATGGTGAGCAGTTCCAGCTTTGTAAGCTTGGAATGCATGTAAACATTTCCTAGAGAAAACAATTCCTAGAAGACCTAGCCAGTAGATGGGGAGGCTGGTTGCTTTTTTCTGTGACTAGGTACACATGTGTTTGTTTCAGGCAAGGGAGTTTTCCCTTAATGTTAACAAAAGTCTGTCTGCTGAAACAAGCCGGCTCTCACCTTTCAAAGGCTGCTTCAGAGAAGGGTCAGTACAGCGTATTGCACAGGGAGCTTGAAGGTACCCTTCCTTACAGATGGGCTCCTGTTTCAGAGGAGGAGGATGCAATCCCAGCCCTAGTACCACACATGAACTGCTGCTGATAGCCACCATGCATTTCAGCCCTCGGATATATGTAACTTGTACTTGGCCAGGAGAATGTAGCAGTGTCCCCTTTGCCCTCCACTGCTCTGATGTCCATCCTGGCAGCTGAGAGAGAGCTCTCAGAGCCGGAGAAACAGACCTGAGGCAATCCAAGGATTGTGGCTGCCTAGAGACAAGTTGGAAACACAACTGACCTGACCTTGCTGGGTTACCTTACCCTTACCAAAAATATGAGCTTCAGAAGCCTTATCTTTGTCCAGCAATGTTAGCAATGAGACAGCCCCCCTCAAATGCCTTGGCTAAAAAGGACAAGGATTTGCCAGCCTCTTCAGTGGACAGGTTATTATGCAGGAACATAATGGCCTTCTGTATTTACAGACTGTTAGTACAAGTTAGTACTAATGGGACCTGGTAAGGAACAAAGTGGCAAGGCCCTGAGTACCCCTTACAGTGTTCCCCTTAAGACCTAGATTTGGAAGAAGGAAAAATACAAAGCACTCACATCTGAGTCTGATTTTTTAAAATCCGACTCAGGAAAAACCTAAGAAGAAAATAGCTCTACTGCAATTTGTGTGACTTTTACTTAGCAAAAACAAAACAAAACAAAACAAAAACCTTACAACTGTCCCCTCTCACATCCCTATTCCCCTTATTTGTCTTTAATCTTTCCTGGTCTTCTGGCTGCTTATCTGCTGCCTACAAATATGCCATTGTTTCCTCCAGTCTCCCTGCCTCCATTCATCCATCCCTTCTAACTATCATCCCACATCTTTCCTACCTTTTGTGGCTAAACTCCTTGAGTAGGCTGTGGACAATAGGTTCTTCTCTTCCCATTCCCTTCTTAACTCTCCACACTCTGGCTTCTAGCTTTATTATTCAACCCAAACTGCTCTCTCCAAGGTTATTAATGATCTCTTACTTGCTAAATCTAATGTCATTTTCTCAGTCCTCATCCTTCTTGACCTCTGTGCAGCCTTTGACATTGTCAATAACCCTCTTTTCTAGGTTTTCAGGACACTTTTCTCTTCTGGTCTCCTTCTTCCTCTTTGACTTCTCCTTCTCAGTCACCTTTACTGGCTCTTTATCCAGGTCATGCCCACCAACCATGATTATCCTATAAAATTGGGGTGTCCCTCAAGCTTCTGTCCCGGGCTCCCTTCTCTTTTTCCTCTAGACCACTTTACTTGGTGATCTCATCAGCTTCCATGGATTGAGTTATCATTTCTTTGCTGATGAGTCTTGCATCTCCAGCTGCCTACACTGGATGAACCATAGAACAAGGAACTTGGTCTCCCAACTCTGGGCATTTTCACTGGCTGTACCCACTGCCTCAAATACTCTGTCTCTTCAACTCTGTGTCCTGGCTTCCCTGGCTTCCTTCAAGGCCCAGCTAAAATCCCACCTTCCACAGAAAGCCTTTCCTGAGCCCTCTTAATTCTACTATCTTCCCTCTGTTGATTATTTCCTATTTATCCTGTATATAGTTTACATAGTTGTTTGCATATTGTCTCCCCCATTACTTTATGAGCTTCTCAAGGGCAGGGACTATCTTTTGCCTTTCTTTGTATCCTTAGAGCTTAGCACAGTGCCTGGCTTGTAGTAGGTGCTTAACGAGTGTTTATTGACCAACTGGCAAAAAAAAAAAAACCTTAACTTCTCTGAAACAGCCTTAAGTGTCTCTGTTAGTTACTTGGTAAAGATCCCAAGACTGGTGTTAGTAGCCATTGACCTTCTCTGTGGCACTGAAAAGTTTGCCTTGGACAGTGGCTAGGAAGTCATAAGAAAAAAAATCCAAGTGGTGGTATGAGTTTCTGCTACAGAGAGGTCTTTGGAGTCAAAACTGATTTTGTGAAAATTTAGAGCAGCTTCAGAGATTTTGGGATTCAAAGTCAAGCGACCAGAATATGACACAATTGCAAAGGTCAAGAGATAGAACATCTCTCCTTTTCCACCACCAACATGAGTCTGTAAAAATATTGGACATATACAACCTAACCTATTTCAATTCCAGTTGACCTTTTGCAAACAGTATACAACCGTGGTGTTTATAGAGGGATTTTGTTTGGCTACCTAGCACCTCTCTGGATGGTCCTTCCCTCTGTTTGCTGTGTCCTCAATTAAACTGCTTGTAGTCAAGCTTATCAGACCTGTCTCATGTACACAGCCAATGTGAATAATCCATCCCATTCCCCAGCAACTTTCCTACGGTGTTAGCAATGCCTGGGCAGTTGAGCATCTGCACTTAGATGAAAATCCCAATGAGGAGACAAACTTAATAGTATCATGTGCAGGCTGGGATTTAGTTCTGTCTGAATTCATTTTTGAAGTGGCACTGAACGGCAGAAGGTTTTTGTGAACAAATGTGATAGTTCTGAATCACTTCCAGAGGTAACCATCAAAATGATGCACAATGGAGAACAGTCAGGCCAAGCTGCAGTGAGAATAGGCACGTGAGCTGGATGCTTGCTCCCAGTACCTGGGAGCTGGCTTAAGCTTGAACTGATAATCCCTCTTTACCAAGACGCTTAAGATGAAGAACCTGCACTTTGCAGCTATAAAGGGACTTCCCAGAATGTCTGCAGCTCCCCCAAAGAAAAATCTACCTCCAGAGGAAAGATCTGACCAAATAAAAGTTTAAAGAAACATTCTTGTTGAGTAAAACAACACAGGTGTCATTGCTGTGTTAAGTCTCGAGTTAAGTCAGATTTCATCTGTAGCCATGTCACTTGAAGATCTTATTTCTGGAAGGGCTCGGTAGAAATCCAGAATTACTGGGGCATCAATCTCAGTGATCACATTAATTTACTTACACACAAATAACTCTTAAAACAGTCAGAGTCCAATTTACAAGATGTGCAACAAGCAGAAGAGGTGAAGGACAAACATTGCAAATGAATTCATGTCCTTCAGGGGTGCAGATTCTCAGAGGTTACTCTTGTCCAAATCCTTCTGTTTCCTCAATAGCAAATAATAGTTTTTCCTTCAGTTGTTCATAGCTCTTGTAGGGTGGTAGATCCAAGCAGTTAAAACAGGTATGACTTCTAGGTAACCACAGATTTTGGGATTCAAAGTCGAGTGACTTAACCAAAGAGGCTCCTGTTGTCATTGGTGAGGGATTCCCCTGTCTGGGACAAAATGTCACCTCACCCTTGAAGTCATTACCATCTTTCCATTTATCCACAAACTTAACATGGCCAGCACTTTCAATAAAAATCATTGCATTCCATTGAATAATAACTGACATTTACAAAGTGCTTTAAAGTTTACAAAGCACTTTATATACATAGAATGTGATGAACTACCCCCTGTTTGTTGATGCATGCCAAAAAAGTTTTCTAGTCTCAAATTACTATCCCTTTAAATAAATTTACTATATTGGTCCAAATATAAGCTGCATCATTAGAACAAGATATTTTTGAAGGGGGAAAAATAGACATTGAAAAATAATTACTTCCACCCCATTCTCTTTTGTGGAACTAACCTCTTTGTCAGGGATAAAAAGCCTGATATTCAGGGCTCTGAGTACTCTTAAGACAGATGGGCCACGCTCACTTGCCCACTCTTCTCTCCTTCCCTCTAACTCCCAGCTCTGTTCCTAATAAAGCAAGCCCTGTAGGTAGCAAATCTTTGGAGCTTCACTACAACCTCACTGCTACCCTGGGCTTCAATAGTTCCTGTCTCCTTCCCCTGCTCCATTTCAGGGCAGAATAGTCCTCAAACCTGGGGTCATTTGTCTTAAGGGTGGAAAAGAGGAGAGTGCAACTAACTGAAAATTTGTTCTGGGCAAAGTGCAAACTCTTTGGTGAAGAGAATCCTCTTTGGTGAGAATCCTCTTCCATTACCTATCCCTACTGGGTCATTTCTAGCCCCAGACGTGACAGTGGAAGGAAGATCTGATAACGTTTCTCTCTAAGGATTCAGGGATTGGATGCAGACAGTTACTCCAGGCCTGCAAGAGGGCAATACCTGTCTGCCTTACATTGCCACCACAGCAGCTGGGATAGGCTTCTTGTGCGTCCCCAATGGAGGAAAGCTATTGTTACTATTTCTGCTCACTGCAGACACAGTTTCTACTCCTTGCTGGGAAAACCAGTGAGGCCTAAGTAATAATGTCTTTGGTAACTAAGAGTGTGATCATAGGTGGCACACAAGTTCTATACAAAACAGATTTTGAGGGGAAAAGTACAGCCTGTGTTTGGACCAGCTTGTCTCTCGTATGACTAATTATACTTACTCATAGACTCTAGGATTAGCCTATTTATTTGGGCTGGGCAGAAGAGAATATTAAAATGTGTTAACCTTGTTAGTCCATCGTAGTTTCTCGTGTTTGTGTGATAACTAATTTTTTTTAAAAGCTTTCCAATCCACAGAAGTTTGACGGTGACTCTTTCTTGTTCAGTTTCAGGCCAAGGGCATATTGCCTTGCTGACAGTGATGAGGAGTCCTCCAGTGCTGGCTCCTCTGATGAGGATGATGCTTCAGAAATGGTTGGTGGAGACAAGCAGCTCACTCCAGGGACTGAAGGGTTTGTGGTTCAGAACATTTTTCCTTCTTCCTTCCCCCCATCTTAAATGTTTCAGTGAATTTCCCAACTGTGGGCTTTGTTGAGTTCAGAACTTTGGGCTTTAATAACCAATGTGTGTTTGCTTAAAATCTGAGTTCCAAAGCTAAATGCTTTATCTCTCTGGCTCACCTAACAAAAGAAAGAGAGCACCAGAGTAGATGGAGATCTCCTCCTGAGGTGGAGAGCCCCTCTTATTGAGATACTGAAGTGTTGTATTGATTGTGTACTGAGAGGAGAGAAACTAGGCAACATTCCTCAATGCTTTCTCTAGGAAGCTGCTCCTCCCTATGTTTGATTCACAGAAACTCTGATTTCTAGTTCTACAGCAGAAATCCTAGAGTCACCTTCTTCAGTGGAGAGTGAAGATTTGGGAGTTTAATAGTATTTCAGGGAGCAACTCTTAAAGTTCCGACTTCCTAGGTGTTTTGTTTCTTAGGAGCTCATTGTAAATATAACACTTGATACTTTGGACGGACTTGAATCCAAGAGATCACTATAAAGAAACCAAGTGATTCAGTATTTCCTTAAAGGAAAATTTCCACCCCATTCACTTATGAAATCGTATGTAAGAGGCAAAGAATCGTTAGGTCAGACGGGTTGACACTAAAGTTTTGCTGCCCTTATTTGAAGTGTCTGCTTGTGAGTTCTATTCTTTTATTTCTTGTTTCCCTAGACATGGTATGCTTGTGCATTCTATCTCAAAACTGTACAAAATATTCTTTTTAGAGCATTTTTTCCACTAGAAAATGAGACATAAAAACCCAGTTCCCCACCCTACCAACTGCTGACATTTTAGTTAAAGCTATGAAGCATTTCATCCCAGCGTCATTTGGGGCAGGGCTTCTAAAACATTTTCCACTCTTCATCCCCTATCAGTGCTTCTTAAACTAGGGGTCACAACCCCATATGGTCAGGACCCACAGTTTAAGAAGCACAGGTTAGGGGACCATATACCATTGAGTAGGCCCTATTTGATAATGGTGTGAGAAGGTCAGGCTTTCAACAGGAACTGGAAAAGAGCCTTTTTGTTGGCTACTCCGGTGATTGTAGAGATTGCCACTAGATGCTATAGAGAAGGGAAATGCCATTAAAATTAACCCGATGGCACCTGTTCTCAGAGTTTTCAGTCTGGTTGGGAAGAGAATATACACATGTGGTATGACCTTGAAAAGAGATGGTGGTGATTTGGTGAGATTAAAACTGAGTTTCAATATGTGGTCATTGATATCACTTGTTATAACAATGATTTCACAAGAATATTATCGTATTCTGACTACATTCTAATATCTGAGAGGTGTTTTAAAAAAAATTAATGTGTGAGATGCTTTTGGCCATGATGAAATATGATGTTTGCATGTAACTCTTTTTTCCTTTTTTTGTGGTGATACCAAATCTCATGCACTTTCTTACTATCTTCTCAGAGTAGGTGGAGCATTTTTTTTTTTTTTTTATACAGAGCTGTGATTTAATTGGTGTGGCATATTCTCTGTAAGGAAACTTCTCCACTTATGCAGATCATAGATCATGCAGCTAGACAACTCATCTGTAATTTATAGTCTTCCAGAGTTGCCTGGGTCATTGGTAATATTTGCTCATGGTCACACATCTAGTATAGTCAGGTCTTTGGACACCAACGCCAGTCCTGTAGCGACTAGCTGCCTCTCAAGATGGAAGAGAAGGGTAGGGAACTCCGTGAATAAGGAAACTGCTTCTCTCAGTTTAGGTTAGCATCTTCTCTGCCTAGAACTGTCAAGTGACTTGCTCAGGGTCACACAGCCAGTATGTATCAGAGACCAGACTTGAATACAGATCTTCATGGTTCCAAGGTCAATACTTTCCACTACGCCACAGCTGTCTCTAAGTCAGAACATGGACAGTATAAATAAAGGTTTTCATGTGCCACTAGAACTAGGTGGTTTCTGAAACAGCAGAGTTTATTATAGTAACTTAATTTTTCCTGTTCTAAATTTGAAGGTATGTTGGAGGATACCGGACAAGTAAGATTATGAGGTTTGTGGACAAAATCACCAAGTCAAAATATTTCCAAAAAGCAACTGAGACAGAGTTTATTAAAAAGAAGATTGAGGAAGTCTCGAATACTCCACTGCTTCTGACTGTTGAAATACAAGAGTGTAAAGGAACCTTAGCAGTTAACATTCCACCTCCTCCAACTGACCGAATATGGTATGTAGAGCAAGACTGTGCTCTTCCTTTCAGGTATCTTTACTTTGAGGTTAGAAGGTCCTGGCTTCCTTAATTATTAGATCATTGAAAGCAGCACAGTCCTAACCACAGAAAGTCCAAATGTTTTTTCATCGATTCACCATGATTTAGTTTAGTTTAATGGTAGTTAACTAGGTTTTGGTTTCACATTCTTTTCCAAAAGATTAAATCACATTGGATTGGTCCTCATATATTAGAAAAATCTCCTTTTCAGTGAGGAAGCCAGGTGCATGGTGGTCAGCTTCACATGCCCCCACCCCAGGCCATGCCAGAGTCTTGAGCTGTGTTGTGATAGGGAAGAGGAGGGTTTTATCTATAGCTACACTAGCTCCAATCCTGTTGTATCATTGTTGCTTGCACCAGGAGTCATCTCTCAATAAGACATCATCTTCCTAGAACAGGCTGGATCAGGGATTTCCAGGAGTTGCAAACACACCAGTATGGAAGGGAGTTGAATTGGAGGTTCTGGATATTAGTTATATTCTCAGCCAGAGCTGACCTGTAAGCTGTGTGAGGGAGAAAATTATTTAACTTTTAAAAAATACTATTCTTGCTCGGTTCCTTTCCCACCACACCCTCTTCAGTCACAGCTATACTGTGGGATGGCAAGATCTAATGAGTGGTTTTTTAAGGATGGGGGGAAAATGGCACCAGGGAACAGGGAGAGTTTGAAGAGAAGAGAGTGAAGGGGAAAAATTGTGGATACAGCCTGCTAGAGAAGACAAGAAGGGATAGGATTAGGTTGGGGGGGTGGGAGGCTGACTCTGGCAGTGAGAAGGGAGTAAAGGAGGAGCTCGTAGGGGAAGTCATCCAAATGATGTGAGGTAGAAGAGGTGTGGGAGGACAGATGCTCTTGAAGCAGTGCTGATAGAGCTGTAAAATCGGCTGACCCTTGTGGGTTGCAGGTTTTGGTTTGGTTTTTTGTTTTTTTAATTATGCAAGCAGAACAGTCATTCTAGCAAGGCTTGGACTGACTGCCTGGCAAGGGGACCTATTGCTAAAGGCTCTGGGAGTTAGTTGTTATTAAAATGTCCGTACTCTTTAACCCAGCAATCCAACTACTGGGTATATACTCTAAGGAAGTCAAGGACAGAGATGATTGTCAAGTATGCCGGTTAATTGAGCATTTATTAAGCACCTATCATGTGCTAGGTATTCAGGATGCAAATACAAAGCTGAGGTAATTCCTGCCCTCAAGGACCTTGCATTCTACTGGGCTGCAATCAGGTTACAAATAAATAAATACAAACTATACCCAAAATAAATACTCCATAGTGGAAGAGCAGGGAACTAACAATCAGGAGAACCTCTTGAAGGAGGTAGTACTTGTACTGGTCCTGGAAGGGAGCTCGGCACCCCAAGAGGCAGAGAGGAAGAGGGAGAACATTCTGTGTGTGGGGGGCAGCTTGTAAAAAGGCCTGGAGATGAAAGCTGGAATGTTATGTATGAGGTGTTGAAAGTGGGCCAATTTGGTGGGAGTGTAGAATGAGTTAGTGGGAGTAATGTATGATCAGACTACAAAGATAGGCTGGAGCCAGATGGCGAAAGGCTTTAAATGTCAAGAAGAGGAGATTGGAGTTGATCTTTCATCCTGCAGACAAGCTCCAGGAGCCACTGAAGCTTCTGGCACAGGCGGATGGTATGGTCAAACCTGAACATTAGGAATATCATTTTGGCAGCTGTGTGGAAGATGGGTCAGAGAGGGCAGGGAATCTGAGGCATGGAGCCTAAAACCAAAATACTCATAGCAGCACTAGGTAGTAGCAAAAGCTGGAAACAAAAGTGAATGTCCATCAGTTGGTGAATGGCCCAAAAAGGTATGGTGCATGAATGTGATGAAATATTGTGCAGTAAAAAATGATGAATATGAGAAATTCAGAGAAATGTGTGAAGATTTACTTGAACTTATGCAGAGCAAAATAAGCAGAACCAAGGGAACAGATTCACAGTGACTGCACGATGAAAATATCACTAAGAGGAAATCAGACTGAGTAATTGAGAAACCAAATCAGGAAATTTATTTCTTCCCTCTCAGCAGAGAAATGGGAGACTACTGACAAAATGTTGTATACATTGTCAGATATAATCACGTATTGAATATTCTCACTTAACTGTTTTTCTCTGTCACAGGAGATGTGCGAAATAACTCAAATATCTGGGATATATAGATAAAAGACATTTTTTTTAAAAGTGCTGACCCAGTAGGTCCTTCCAAAACTGCAAATGCAGCTTTTCAGTGTCAGAGCCAACAAAGGCTACCAGGAACCAGTGCTGTTAAGTCATTCTAGAACCTATCAGTGATCAGAGCACCTTCACTCTGGCTGGCTTTGTGAACATCCACCACAGAACAGTAAAGCAGGAACGACAGCCTTCTATTTGCTATATGCTATTATTGTTCTTTGTAATTGTATTCTAAGGAAATCGGTGGCAAAATTGAAATGGACATTCATTCATTTGGCATCATAGATAGCACAGTGATATTTAAAGGACCAGAAAAGAATTAGGAGGACCTTCCTGTATGTCTCTTGTATCTGACAGCATTTGAATCAGTTATTATTTTGGTGTCTCTACCCCCATTTTAAGGTCCTATTTTAAATGGTATTAACAACACTGTCTTTTTTTTATGCATAGTGCATATTTTTGTTATAGTCCACATTGGAGATCTTTGCTTATGAAGAGATTGTACTTTTGTATTTGTATTTTCTTTAAAGGTATGGCTTCCGAAAGCCACCACATGTGGAACTGAAGGCTCGGCCAAAACTTGGTGAGAGAGAAGTGACTATAGTTCATGTAACTGACTGGATAGAGAAGAAACTGGAACAAGAGTTTCAGGTACATTCGTTACATCATCTAGCCTTGGAATCATTGTGAACTTTTTCAGTTCCTAACAGTACAAACAGTAAATGTTACTGACCAGTGGAGTCAGCAAGGAAGTTCCCTGGGTCTCAGGAGCTCTCTGCCAAAATGCTAAAACTGCTTTTGTATTCTCCTTACCTATTGGAACCACAGTTGGATCCCAGATTGATCAACCTGCCCCAGGTCTGTTCCATTGTTTGTTGGCTCCTAAGCATCTTGGGTGGTGAAGTGTGGAGGTTAACTCGGTCTTCCCCAATTCCATGAGTATCCTCTCCCACAGCTGCTAATGAGCATTTCAGTCTCATAAAATGATAGAGTTTCCATTGTTAAGGGTCTTTGAAGTCACCTAAGCAAACCTCCTGTCCTTTGTGTGAAACCACTTATGGCCCTTGTGGCAAATGAAACGAGAGCCAGGTACTCTGGCAGATGCAATAAAGGCTTTTTGAATTTGAGGAATTTAAAAATGAAGAGACCTGATGAGTTTCTTCTTCCCATTTCAGTTCCTTCATTTGGTGGCAAATGCTTCTCTGCACTAGAGGCAACATTGGTTCAATTTAATAAATGTTTATTAAGTACCTACTGGGAGCAAAGCGTTGGGGATGCTAAGACGGACAAAGAAGTCCCCGATCTCAAAGGACTTTGTATTTTCCACGACAGAAAACAACATTATTTGCTGCCCACGCAGTGATCAGTCACTAACGTCCATAGAGGGAGAAGAGCACCCCCACAGCTGGGAGTGGGCGCTGGGAAAGCTGTTCAGTCTGAACAAGTAGATGGGCTGAGGATCAAGGCAGGAGCCCATCCCAGGCTCCCAGGGCGGGGCCTGGTGCCAGGCACGAGGCCAGCTTGGCTGGAGTGTAAAGGGAGGACCGTGCTGTGAAGTACATCTGGAAAAGCAGAATGGAGCCCGGTCAGGAGGAATCTGAAATTCATCCTAGAGGCAGTTGGGAGCCATGGAAGATCGTTGTCATGGGAGGAGTGAAATAACTGTTTTGGCAGTTGTGTGGAAGGTGGATTAGGGAGGGGAGAGACCAATTAGCAGGCCACTGAAGGAGTCCAAACCAGAAACAAGAAGTGGTGAGGAATTGAACTGAGATACAGTGGCTGTGTTAGAAGAGACAAGAGGACAGATTCCAGCAAAGCAGTGAGGTAGATTGTATAAGACTTAGCAACTGCTGCTATGTAAGAGGACGAGAGTGCAGCAAAGAAGGGCTCCAAGGTTGTGAACCAGGGTGACTGAAACAGAAACAGGGAAGTTGGGAGGAAGGGTGAGTTTGGGGAGCAGTGTGGTGAAGTGAAAGGCTGTTGGATTTGGAAACCGAGGAGTGTGAATCTCACACCTGCCACTCGTTACTCCCTTCATAATGTTAGCCAAGTTACTTATCCTCTATAGGTTTCAGCTTCCTCGTTGGTAAAATGACGGGTTGGACTCCATGATCTCAGCTCTGCATCCGTGCTCCACCAGGTCTGCTTTGGTTCTGTTGACTTTGAGATACCCGGAGGTCATCCTGGTAGAGCCAGATATACAGCAGGAGGTTGATGTAGGACTAGAGGTCAAGAGACAACCTAAAAATAGATGTATAGATTTCAGCATTATCTGTTGAACCCACGGCACCAATGAGTTCACAGAAGGAGGGAGAGTAAAGGAGGAAGAGAGGAAGGCCATACAGATAGCCTTGGGACACTCCTGCTCAGAGGGTGGGAACTGAATGATGATCCAGCACAGCAGTCAGGAAAGATCAGCTGTGGGCAGGAAGAGTGGCTGGTGAGAGCAGTGTCACCGAAACTGAGGGAGGAGAGTCAAGTAGGATAAGGATTGGAAAGGACCGTGAAATTTGGGAGTTGAGACATCCATGGTAACTTTGCAGCTTCAGTCAGTGGCAAGGTTGGGAACCAGATTGCAAGAGGTGTTGAGTAGTGACTGGGAACTGGGCAGGTGGAGGCACAGTGACTTCTTCTGGAAGATTGGCTGTGAAAGGAAGAGGAGAAATAGATATAAATAGATAGAGCTTTTAACTTTAGAACTGAATTAAAAATTCTACTGGGCCAACTCCTTAGTAATTTGATAGCCCTTTAGAATAATTTTGAGCCTCTACTTTCTTTATAAAAGGGTTTAGAAGAATTTAGAGGGAAAAAAATCCCAGTATATTGAATTTCAACTTTCATACTGTTTTGTTATGGTAGAATTCAGTGAGTAATTGGTGAAAATCCTAAGCTTTGGTCAGACATCAAAGATGCCACGGTCATCCACTGCATTCCAGGCCAGTTACTGAGCTTACTAGATGAAAATTGTTGCTAGGTTACTTTTTGAAATCGTTACTTCAGAAATGAGAAGTTGAGAATGTGCATAGAAAGTCTGTGACATGAATCTGATAAAAGTAGAATGAGGTAGGATGACTTACTAGGGAAAACAGAACGAACTTCTATGGCAGACTCCTAATTTCTAAATCCATTATACCTTTTCTCTTGTGCTTTTTACAGAAAATTTTTGTCATGCCAAACATGGATGATGTTTATATCCCAATAATGCACTCGGCCATGGATCCCCGATCAGCTTCCTGTCTGCTCCAAGATCCGCCCGTGGAAGCCGCTGCTGATCAGCTGTGACGTGTCAAGACCCGCGGTTTACAGTATTATGAGATTATTCATTAAGGTTTTTGGTTCTTTGAGCTGTGTTGTAGTTGTGCCCTTCACTTGTGCCAGAGATTCCCCCCAAAGGCCTGCTTCTGCCATGTCTCTGCCTGCCTGTTCCCATTCCACTGTGAGGCATCTCTCCCTGGGTCAGCTGTGAAGGTTTGCCTTGGGCAGAGGATGAAAGAGCTGTCCCACCCATCCAGAAGTTTTAAGCACACAACAGATAGTCGGACCTGTTGCCTCCCTGGACTACAAAAAATGCCTTGGCAACAGAGGGACAGAGAGCAAGCAAGAAGGGGGCGAGCCTCGGAAAGCGAAGACACCCTCTCTCCTCAACTCCCCAGCACCGGTCCGCAGGCAGCCTCGGTACAAAGCAACTGTGTGGGTTGTGTGGGACAGTCGGGGAGGCACTGCTTGGGGCGAGGGTTGTTCTGCGACCGATTTTATTGGCAGTAAGGAGATAGGCCTAGCAACTTTTTTTCACATTAAATTGCGCATCTTTGGAAGCAAGTAGCCATAAAATATGTACACACACTAACACACTCTCAGCCAGGGTGGGGATGTTGGGCTTCTGTGAAACAGGCAAAGCCATGAGATCAAACCATACCAAGCCTTTTACCAGTGAGGTACAATCACAGTGCTTTGTAACTTCTCTGAATGTTTTTTGAAACATGAGCACACATGAAAATGTCTAACATTGCACCCAGTGACCAGAAAGATCGAATTTTTCTGCTTGTAGAAAGAGAATCTTGATACCATGGTGGGTGGGATGACCTTTGTACTTTACAGGCTTCCCATCCAGTGTTTACTGTGTTATACCTGGAAGTTTTATATAGGAATTAAAATGCTTACTAAAGTTCATTGTAAACTGGTTTTAGGAACAGTTTCTTTTTCTAAATAATGGCCAAAATGGAAAGAAAACTGCTCCTGGATTCTTATCCAGTCGTGAGATTTAAAACCAAAAGTTTGCATATCGGAACACTACATAGCTGAGAATAAGCATTTGTGACATCTCTTTAATGTTGCCAAATTTTATTTTGTGTATTTGTGTCAGAAAGTTAATTTAGTTTCAAAAAGTCAATCTTATTTTTTACATTGTGTTCAAAGCAGCATTTGACCCAAATCAAAATTACTTTGTGTAACTTTGGATAATTTACTATATACATACCTAACATAACTAAGCTAATAGTGGAGGGTTTAAAAAGGAAAAAAGAAAAAAAAATGTGCACCTTGCCTGAATGTGATTTAAAGAGAGCATTTAATATATTGAAGAAAATTATATTTGAACACTTATTTTGGTTACTTTTAATTGCATTCTATCTGACTAAATTCCTATTCCTTGACCATTCCAGTTTGTGTCCGGTTCTAATTTCTCATTATGTAGGCTTAGCTGCCTTTCATAAAGTCCGCATGTCTTATTCACTGGTCTTTATGATTTGATTTTTGTGCAATAACTAAAAATAAAAGGACGAGGTGCATTACTGTGTAGAGATTACACATGACTGTCTCCTATTGCACTTAATCAGAAGTATGTGGGGAATTACAATCACTTGCATTGTCTCACAAAATAAATATCTCATGTCTAATACCTGAGCAGCTCAGTGATTTTTCCTTGACCCTGCTTAGCTAATAGAGCCAGATTATAGATTCTAAGATTGCCTGGCCCTGGAACATAACCTGCAAATTCAGCTCCCCTGTTGCTTGTCACTTTAATTATGTGCTCAACTGTGTTAAGAGCTGCTAAGCTACAGCAGAATGTTTGTGGGGAAACTGTTGACAGTTTTGTCATAGTCTCCCCAGTACCTAACATGGTCTTTCACACGCAGTAGGTGCTTAATGAGTGTTGAATTGAATCTTGTGGCATAACATAATAATACCCAACATTTACATAGCACTTCAAGGTTTGCTAACCGCTTTACAAATATTATCTCATTTGATCCACACAATAGCCATGGAAGGTAGGTGCTATTATTGTCCCCATTTTGCTGATGAGGAAACTGAGGCAGAGTGAGGTGAAGTGACTTGCCCAGGGTTGCACCGCTAGTAACATTGCATAGGATTCTAACATTACCGCTTACCATTTTTCTATAACATCTCATTCTTTACACTTGTACTCTTTTCAAGTGTATTTCTAATCTGTCTTTCCATGGGATTTGACCTTTTTTCAGTCCTTATTCTTTCCCACAGACATATCTTTTGGATGTGTAACTTATTAAAGTGGGTTATCACTTCTTCAAGCCTTTCTAACCCTAAGGGCCAAGATGATAATCCTTGCCTTCCTCAGAGGGTTGTCTGGGGACTGTGTGAAACCACTTCTGCAAAGGGCTTTGTACACCTTTATAAAGCATCATATAAATACCAGTTGCTATTATCTAGAAATGTTTTTCATCTTCCTATTTCTAGATGGTGAAGGTTCATGAAGAAAGGGATAGTGTCTTATATAAACTTTGTACCTGTGAAGTGCCAAGTCCATTGTTCTGCACAAAGTCAATGCATAATATACATTTGTTGGATTTTGTATAAATATAGCTGGTCAGTAAGAATAACATGAAAATTGCTAGTGACTGAAGGTTAACCAAAGGGGACTTCAAAAACTTTATTTAGCAGCAAATTAATCAGCTGCCCAGGTTCTGTCGCTAATGAAGCTTGTGTATGTGGAGGACACTGTTCTTTCACATAAAAAATGAATATGGAGACCAGTTATGGACAAGTTCATGCATATCATATACACAATACAGTGTGCTCTACTTTGGGCTTCAAAATCAAAGATTAGCTAAGTCTAATTATAATGGCTCAAACTGAATACACATTTAGTGATCTCTTATGGACTTCCCAGCAATGAATTTGAAAATATAGAAAAAGGACTGAACTGGCACAAGAGACCTGACTCAGGCACTACACTAACTAGTTGTGTGACCTTAGACAACGATTGCTCAGTCTGTTTCATCATTAGTGAAGTGAAAGATTTGGAGCAGATAACCTAAGATCCCCATCATCCTTATAATTCTAAGGTGCCTGAGTAGATCTGACAATCTAATCGTATCTAAATAGGTTCTCAGCTGTCATAACCCAATGCTCAACCATGGTCATCTCTTCACTGAAATGATAAACCTTGGCACATTCTTCTGAGCCTCCTGGAGAATCATCACCTCCAGTCCCCTGAGTAATGAATCTTTCTACCCCGCAACAGAAGTCATTCCCGTATCTTCCCACCTCTTGGCCTCCAATCCTCGAAAATGAAAATTGCCCCATACATTTGGACTGTCATTATAAAAGCTTTCCTTTATTTTTAGTTTTCAACATTTACTTTTATAAAATTTTGAGTTCTAAATTTTTTCCCCATCCCCAACATGGCATGCAATCTGATATAGGCCACACATGTGTAATCATTCGATACAATGATTTCTTGATGGTTGGTCTTAGGGCTCTGAAAAAGAGACCCAGGTGCTACTCCCACTGTCTCTGAACATGACAGGCCATGAGTACGAACAGTAATAGCCAACTATGCCTACTTGAAGATCCCCTTCCCAAATACTTTGATAACATGGTTAAGATTCATAAGAAGCCTATCAGAATCATGAAAAACTGATCAATTTACCTTTATGAACTGCCTACTTTGTGCTAGGCACTCTGCCAAATCCTGGGGATACAGACCAAAATACAAGATTCCTATCTTAAGGAGCTTGCATCCTATCAGGGGAAACATGTATACATATTTAAATTTGAAATATGTGCAAAATAAATACAAGGTAATTTTTGAAGGGTGGAACTAGCAGCTACAGCTTGAGTATTAGGAACAGCTTCATGAGGAAGGTGGTGACTGACCTAGGCTTTGAAGGAAGTGAAGGCTGAAGGACCCAAGAAGGAATATATTCCAGCCTAGAAATGTAGTCAGATTATGGAAATAGAGTAAATATGGAAAGAGAAGTTTGCCTTTTATCCTCGAAATAAGAGCCACTGGAGCCTCTTGACCAACACTGGCATGGTCAGACCTGGTACTGGAACATCACATCGGCAGTAGAAGATCGAGAGAGGAAAAGACTTGGGGCAAGATCAATTATGGGGCTATTTCAGTAGCCTAAGAAAGAGATGGTAAGGTCCTGAATTAGGGTGGTAGACCTGTGAGCAGATGGAAAAGGTAAGGTTATGGAGGTAGAATGTCGTGGGGATGGCATCCTGTGGAAATGTCCTATTTGGCAGTTGGTGACATAGGACCAGAGCTCATTCCCTGATGCTCACTCTCAGCTCTTGACCCTTAGAACCTCAGAGGTTCTTGACCTTTTTTGTGTTATGGACCTATCTGGCAAGCTGGGGAAGCTTATGGACTCCTCAAACAATGTTTTTAAGTGCACAAAATAAAATACATAGGTCTAGAAAAGAAATCAATTATGTTAAAAGTTACCAAAAGTTAAGTTCATAGATCCCTGGGTAGGAACCCCTGCTCTGACTCCTTGAGGAATGAGGTACTTTTCACAACTGTAGACAGGGAGAGACTTGTTAAACAAGAGTCTGAGGATCAAGACATAAAATTGCTAATTTTGATTATATATAAGTTTTTGCATAAACATCAGTGCATTTAGAAAGGAAAGTTAGGGGAAAAAGAAAACCTTGACTATTATCGCTAATGGTCTGAAACCCTAAATATTAGGGGATTGATAAACACATTAAGAAAAAGAACCATTCCCCCATAGATGAATTTAAATTAGAATTTTTTTAAAATAAAAAGTAGCTCCCTTCAAGGCACAAATGCCAAAAATGAAAAGTCCTGACCCTCAAGGAGGTCACGTTCTAATGGGAGAGTTACATATACATATATAATATACACTAGCAGCTAAGGGAACTGGGAAAAGCTTCCTGTAGGTGGTATTTGAGTCTTGAACCCAGGGATTCCAAGAGAGAGCTTGAGAGGGACAACCAATGCAAAGAACATTTGTAGTCACAAGATTTAGGGCTAGAAAGGACAAGAGACTATCAAATCCATCCTCCTCTCCAGCCCCATTTTACAGATAAACAATGGTTAAGTGTTGGTCAGAATCAAAGATGGTGAAGTGGGGTTTGGGGGGGATGGGGTGGGATTTGAACCTAGGTCTTCATGATTCACTTTTACCACGGTGGGTTCAGGATGGGGTGTGTGCCTCCAGTATGCAATCCCTGAGATCCTCTCCAATTTATCCTGTATATAGTTTATCTATACATACATATTTGCATGTCATGTCCCCCATTGGACAGTTCCTCAAGAGATGAGTCCTTTTTGCCTTTCTTTCATATTCCTACTAAGTAGGCACTACATGTTTGTTAACTAGTAAAGAACATAAAAAAAACACACAGGGCAGGTAGGTGGCACAGCAGATAAGAGCACTGGTCCTAGAGTCAGGAGGACCTGAGTTCAAATGCAGCCTCAGACACATTAACATTTACTAGCTGTGTAACCCAGGGCAAGTCACTTAATCCCAATTGCCTCACCAAAAACAAACATATAGGAGCAGCCACACTGACTTCAGTGCCACTTTATTAGCAATGGAGTGACATGGTCATTCTTACACTTTAAGAAGCTCACTCTGGCATCTAAGTACAACACAGACCTCAGGCAGGAGGCAGGAAAAAGTAAAATGAGGCTAGTGTTGCAACAGTTCACGTGATAGTGATGACAGCCAGAAGGGGACAGATTTGAGATGTCACAGAAATAAAAATGTTGCTTTAGCCACTGTTTAAGTGTGCCAGGAGTCAAAAACAGACCTGAGATTGGGATGAACTTGTGTCTTGGAAATAACAGGGAAATTTAAAAAGGGGGGGTGGGTGGAGGAGGGATAAGTGAACTGTTTTGGACATGATGAATTTGGGCTACCCCAGTGGGGGTTCAAATCATTCAAAATGTCCTGTAAGCTATTCCCACTTGACTTGGGTCTAGAGCTCAGGAATTGAGACCCAGTCTGCACCTGGAAATCAGTCGTTAATTAAACCCATGGGAATCAATGTCAATTGAGTGTAGAGCACAAGTACCTACGGCCAACATTCAGTGGTCATGACAATAGGACAGAAGACTGAATGGTTAAAAACCTACGCCTCTTTGCAGGAGGCACAAGCCTCTTTCCTCCCCTCCCTCTTAAGTTTCCCCAACTTCCCTCCATGTCATTTGCTCTGAAACATTTAAGCACCTACTACATGCCTGGCACTGAGGATACAGAAAGGATCAATAGATTGTTTCCATCTGAAACTAAGATTGAGGGCCACTTGACACTCACTAGCTGTGTGACCCCAGGCAAATCACTTAATCCTGACTGCCTCACCAAAAAAAAAAAAAAAGGAAAAAAAGAAAGCTTTAGAGTAGGAACTGTTAGTCTCCAATTTCCAAGCATTTTTACTGGTGTTAATATACACCTGGCATTTTCTAGACCCTCATCTCTACTTCCTGACCTCCTACTACTCCCAGCTATAACCCTAATCTTCCTTAAATTCAACCAAGCTAAGCAAGTTTCTGGAATGTTATATAAGGGTAAAGAACTAAAAACGGAGGGGGTAAAATCAGCTAAACTTTGAAATGATGCCAAAAGTAGCAGGTAGGCAGGTAACACATCCCAGGAGTGGGTGACTGCTATTGCCCACAGCAAGTTAATTTTGGGGAGGTGTGGGGTAAAGTAAAATTCATAAAAGTGGTATAAAATACAGAAGAAATACTGCATTACTAAGAGCTTTGAAGACCAAACTGAAGAGTCTGAATCTAAGCCAGAGCTAGGAATTTTTAAAAAAGGAAGGGGGACAAGATCAGATGTTTGAGGGATATTTCCACGGTGGAAGCTCTAGTCCCAGTTAAAACCCAAGGGCCCTTCAACCTACATTGAGTGCCTCCCCTCAAATCTTTAACATTTTTGCCAACTACCAAAATGTCTTCTCTAACATTCCTAATTCCCTCATGAGAAGCAAAGTCTCAAAGTTAAAAATGTAACTATTTGAATTATCATTTGAATTGCCCATTCTTTCTCCCCCAGCCAAAAATTTGAGCTATTTTTGCCTAACCTGTTTCTCCCCAAGGCTTTCACAGGATTCCCTCCCCACCCTTAACATAACAGGTTTGTCCTAAACTACAGAGTATTCCAATAGGTTGCTCTTTCCTCAAGTTTCCCAAGACACCTCCCACCCCAATTTCAATTCAACAAACGATTTTAAGATTCTCTGTGTCAGGCCCTGGGAATAAAAAGGAAGCAAAGACTATTCTTTTCCCCACAAAATCACATGCTGCACATCTCCCCCTTTAGAAAGGGGGCTTCTTGAAGGCAGGAGCTGTTCCACTTTTAAAAAAGCTACATTGTAAACACTTTAACCAAAAGTTTTTCATAGCCTGAATTTCCAGTTCTACCACATTAACATGCATTCTAAGCTACAGCCAAAACGGCTTTCTTCTCGATCCTCTCACATCTCCAGTCTCTTTGCCTTTTTCTCAGTCGGGTAACTTAACTTACTCCCTCCACTCCTTAGAAAACCGTTTGCTTCAAAACTCGGGTGCCACCGCCATTGAATGCTTTCCTGATCCCACCCGGTGGCTAGTATGGTCAAAAAAACCCCAGGTTGTTAAAAATGTTTTACCCGCAATTACACACGTGTGCCTTTCTTTGCAAAACTTAAGGTCGTGGAGGAGGATGTATTTCACTGCCTTTATACAGAAGCACTTAGCGATACCAGCTAGTGAGCACTGATTGGCAAAATACTCCCGTAGGTTGCACTTGGGGGCGATCTCCTACCAATAACCACGTGCTCAGTTCTATTCTGCGCCCCCCCACCCCGTAACTCTCCCCCCAAAGTAGGGTCGCGCCGAATGTCGCTTGTCCTTAAAAGAACCGCTCCAATTTGGGCTAAGCGGAACCAGTTATAAACAAGCTGGGTCTGCTCTTGCACTGCTGCTTGGCCCGGGATACCACAGATCAGGCGTTCCACGGGTTCAAAGGCAAGTGCGGCCGACGTCAATCAGACTCGGGCGAGTCGCGACACGAGGCTGAGGCTTTGGGAACCTTTTTTATTGGCAGCTTTTACGAGAGGGGGAGGGGAGGCGGGGTCGTGGGGGGGCGCGTGCGCAGAACCGCTCCGTCTCTACGCCCGGACACGCTGGGACCTGCGGGAACAAGGACAAAGTCAGTGAAGGGTCCCTGAGGTGGTAAATCCCGACCCAGAGCACTCGGTAGGGCCTTGGCTCAGACTCCGATTCACTTCACGGTAGTCAGTAGTCTAACACGCTTTCATAGTTGTCATCACGGCCGCCAGATTCCGCCATTCCCATCTCCCGACCAACAAGTATGACTTACCCAAAAACCAGCGCCGAATCGAAAGGAGCGAGCTCCTGAGCGGCCGAGAGTTAAAGCCGAAGGCGGGAGCAGAAGAGGGCGTGCCTTACCGAAGGCAACCAATAATCGAGCAGATCCTAACCATGTGATTTTGAAATCGTCTTCGGATCGGCCATTCGGATTGGCTCAGAGGCGTCTAGTCCGTAGGACAGCTCCCCATCAACCATAGAGATGTGAAAGAGACCATGAGAGGGCAAGAGAGGGGCTCTTGCTTTCTGCAAGATTTGGCTCCCCTTAAGTAAGTTAAGTTTTACTTCACCTTCGCGAGTTCTAAGTTCCAGCCAAACTGCATCCCTCCGATGTCCTAGTAAAATGTTTAACAACAGCCTTTCAGGAAAAAAAAATTAAAATGTACACCTTTAAATATCATTCGCATAGTTAACAATTTCATAAATCTAGACAATCAACAAGACAACGAATCAAGCCCTGATTTGTAGCATTTGCCGATTTCCGAGGTGTAAATGCTCACACCGAAAATTTAACAATCAGCTGGAGTTGTGTGTGACCTGCTCCAGTACGTCTCTGGCCAGTTCCTCACTCCGTGCCTTTGCAGTGACTGTGCCCCATAGTTAGAATGTACTATTCCCTCCTTGCATTCACCCATTACAATCCTTGTTGTCTTTTTTTTTAATTTTATTTTCTAACAGCTGGCATTTATTTATTTATTTTATTGTTTTGGCTAGGCAATGGGGTTAAGTGACTTGCCCAGGGTCACACTGAACAGCTAGCATTTATATAGCACATTTTAAGATTTACAAATTTCTTTACAAATATTATCTCATTTTATCCTCACAGCGATTCTGGGAGGTAAGTGCTATTATTATTTCCCATTTTACATATAAGGAAACAGAGGCTGAGAGTAATTAAGTGATCTGCCCAGTGTCACCCTGGACTAGCAAGTGATGGAGTGGATTTGGATTCAGGTCTTCCTGATTTCAGGTTGAGCACTGTGTTCAATGCCCCACCTAGCTGCCTTTGTCTTGTCTTGTCATAGTAGCAGTGCTGGGCCATCTCCAGTCATTCTGATCCATATCTGGCCATTGGACCCAGATGGCTCCGGAGGAGAAAGTGAGGCTGGTGACCTTGCACAGCCCTGCCTCACTTAAATCCAATTCACTTGCATGTCATAGCATCCTCTCCCTGATTTCATGGTCCTCTTCCAGAAAGAAGGACAAACCACAATAGTAGCAGCAGTAATATTACAATAATAGCATTTGTATAGTGCTTTAAAGTTTACAAAATGCTTCCCATAAGTTATCTTATTCGATCCTTAAAACAACCCTGTGAGGCAGGTGCAATTATTTCCCCCATTTTACAGAGCAAAATAAGGCTAAGAGGTTAAGTGACTTGCCTAGGGTCACACAGCTAAGTGTCTGAGGTCACATTTGAACTCAAGTCTTCCTGATGTGAGGCCCAGCAATCTACCTGAGCCACCAAACTACCCATTAAGTTGCATAATCACTTTAAAAGTACTTTTCATCCAGGTCTAGCATTTACCAGCTGTGGGACCCTTCTCTGACCCCGTTTCTTTGTATAATAGAAAAGAATAATTACTTTTATTACCTACTTCATAGTGGCTGGTACATAGCAAGGGCTTAATACGTTTCTTAATTGACTGACTGGGGGAAAGTGCTGTATCATTGTGAAGTATTGTTAATTAGAGAACAAGAACAGACAGAAGAATTAATAATTAATTATCAATTAAGGGCTGCTTCCTTCATTTTGGTCATTGATAAAATGGGGATGATACTGGCCCTATCTCAGAAGCTTGTTGTGAGGAAAGTACTTAGAGGTAGCTGGATGGTGGAGTGGATAGAGGGAGATCTGAGTTCAGATTTGACCAGAGCAATTGACATTTCTGTCTTCCTCAGTGTCATCATCTGTAAAATGGACATAATAATAGCACCTACTTTCCAGGGTTGTTGTGATAATCAAATGAGAAAATATTTGTAAAGTGCTTGGCAGACCTTAAAGTTTTGTACAAATACTAGTTATTATTGTTGTTGTTGTTATTATTACTTTGCTATAAATCTTAAGGTTCTATATAAATGCTAGCTGTTAGAAAATAAAATAGGAGGCAGCTAGGTGGCGCAGTGGATAGAGCACTGGCCCTGAATTCAGGAGGACCTGAGTTCAAATGTGAAATCTGACCTCAGATACATAATACTCACTAGCTGTGTGACCCTGGGCAAGTCACTTAACCCCATTGCCTAGCCAAAAATAAATAAATAAAATAAAATAAAAAAGAAAGTGTGTGTTCCCATTAAATTAAATAAATTAAATGTGAGTTCTCATTAGGTCCATTCCACTTCAAGCACACACCAATCTAGATGATGCTCGGCTGCATCATCATCACACAGAACTGCTTTCCCTTCAAAATCTCAAACAGCGAAAGCCCCGTCTCGGATCACAACCTCTTGTCTTTACACCTTTCTCACTCTCATCATTGCTAAGCTTAATAATATATAATATATAACTTATATAATAAATATATTATATATAAATAAATATATAACTTATGTAATATATAACTTAATAATTGTTAAGAATAACTAGTATTTATAAAGTACTGTCAAGTTGGTGTGAAGGAATTATGATTTTTATAATAATTCATGTGATATGTGTAATGAATATACTAATAGATTAGATTTTTCAGAATTGCCTTTTCTAGCTTGTGAATCAGAAGCTCACAATGCAGCTTGAAATGATCAATCAAACACTCACAATCACTGGCATACTTGTACCTGTGTATCTTAAGTGAAGCAAATCAAAGATTGTAGAACCTATTCCAGTCACAAAACTCTGGTTCTGTGTCTTGGGAAATGGTCACAATCCCCAAAATTTGTGAAGAATTGTCGTATAGTGGGATGTGTAGGCTGGGTGTGGGAAACCACTCTGGCCCTGGGAACGATTGTTTGTAATCCACTTTCCCCCCTCCCTTCCCATTTGTGATTTATATATATAATCTCTGTCTTCACTTCGGCAAGGTGGAATTCTGATCAGGAGAATTCCTGATTTGCACATCTGTTCCTCATAATGAAACTAATTAATTAAACAGCCACCTGATTACTAGCACTTTGTCAGGTTAGAGATTGGTTCAGTAAAATCCTTTTAACATGTGCAAAACAAACCAAACCAATTTATTGGTGTTATGTAGGGGAAACTGTAGAAGAGACAGAGTAGCCTAAGGAGAACGCTAATGTTTACTGTATAATGTGGGTCTTGCAGGGAAATGTTTATATTTATTCATGTGCATATTAATTATCGATGGTTTGAGGTTGCTTTTGTTTTTTCTGATTCATGGTTATTCACTTTTGTTTTGGTACCATGCATGTACCCTTGATACATTTGTCTGTTAACTATGCATAATTGTGTGTGTATATGCCAGCATTTATGTATGTCTTGCTGCTCTGTAGACTGACTGTTCTTGCTTCTGTGTGGCTGTTATGCATATTATGCTTGTTCAGTAGATACGCATGAATTTCTATGATGTGTGCGAGTAATATTCCCTGCGTGTAATTTAGACCAGTAGCCACCAAAGCCTTGTATCAAACAATACTTTGCACTATGTTGTTGTTCAGTCATTTTGACTTTAGGGGTTTTCTTGGCAAAGATACTGGAGTGATTTGCCATTTCCTTCTCCAGTTCATTTTACAGATAAGGAACTAAGACAGACTGGGTTAGGTGACTTGCCCAAGGCCACATAGTAAGTTTCAGTCACATCTTACTCTTTTTGACGCCTTTTAGGGTTTTCTTGGCAAAGATACTGAAGTGGCTTACCATTTTCTTCTCCAGTTTATTTTATAGATGAGGGAACAGAGGCAAACAGAGTTAAGTGACTTGCCCAGAGTCACACAGCTAGTAAGTGTCTGAGGCCAGATTGGAACTCAGGAAGATGAGTCTTCCTGACTCCAGGCTCAGTGCTCTATCTACTGTGCCACCTAATGCCTGCCCCACTTTACACTATGCTATCTCTATTAAACATGTTGTTTGTGTATATTTGTTATGAATGGCACTCAGACATTGGACGCATCCCTTGGATGCAGGATTAATCATCCTTATTCTGTTAAGATCTAATGTTTATTTTTGTGCTGTCATGTGTAATGACAGATGTCAGCTGAACCAAGACTGACTTTGTAAGAGACTGCAAAATTTCTGACCTTAGGAAAGAATGTCACAGTACATTGGAGAAGATGTCACACATGGACAGAAACTTCCAGTGGCCCCCTGCTCCTGCCCCTGGAGAACCATTGGGACCCTCTGACCATTTACCTAGACCTTACCCTTTCAGGAAGGGGAGAAGAAACCTCAAAACAGAGCAAGACCTGTGAGCATGGAGCTGAAACAAGCATGGGAGACAGGAACACTGGGGACCCAGGAAGAATCAAAGCCACTAAGTGGATAGAATGCTAGGCCTGGAATAAAAAAGACCAGAATTCAAATCTAGCCTCAGACACTTCCTAGCTTTGTGACCCTGGGCAAGTCACTTAGCCTCTGTCTGCCTTAGTTTCCTCAACTGTAAAATGAGGATCATAATAGCACCCGAGTCCCCCAGTAGTTGTGAGGATCAAATGAAAAACTATTTGTAAAGTGCTTGGCACTTAGTAAACACTTAATAAATGCTTGTTTCCTTCCTCCCTTCCACTGGAACCAGTGGAAATGAAGACAGAGGCACCAAATAGCCTGCTGTGACTGTTGTCCCTGCCACCATGAGTAACCTGGCAGGGGAGCAAAAACGAGAAAATGAGACAAGGACCGTGGCCACGTAATGCTGGAGCCACATGGAGCAGGCGCAGGGTAGCTAAAACCTTTCCTTCTGCTGGGAGGAGAACGGGTGGGCCTTCACTTTCCCATCCTTTTTTCCCCACTCCTCATCTGGGTTACACTCTTCCTGAACCACCCGTCCTATGTTCCTCCTTGTCATGTTAATTCCTCCTTGTCATGTTAATCCCTCCCAGTTCATGCATCCCATGTTCAAAAATGGCAGCTATCTCCACCCTCGGGGTATGTCAATTAATATTCAATAAGTTTATTAAGCAATCGCAGTGGAGAAAAGTCTTTGCCCGGTCCTTGACCCTGACAGTTGCAACCGGTTTAGCCTCCAGGGCTCTGTCTTAAGGAACTAGTTGTTTCTTAGTTGCAGAATGTTTGGAGCACTTTCTGATT